AGATTAGAGTCTTCTGCTCTTAACCACTACACCACACTGGGGGGGAGAGCTTAGGGTCACCCCAGACCTCCTGTAAAGTCTCTGCACCACTTGCTACAAAGGCCAGAAGTTGTGATGTTAGCCTTGCAACTTTACCCGTGCCTGTAACAGTTGCATGGTAAGCCAAAGTTCAACAGATGCAGCTGTGGGGTGCTACAGGGATCTATCAATAGGCAAATCCTTACCTATTGAATATCAGCCTGCAGCAAGATGAAAAGGGCATAGGAGCCCTGCTGGAACGCAAGAAGGCAATCTAACCTTTCAGAAAACCAGTCAGTAAAAGGGAGGAGACAACAGCCCCTTATGATACAATAATTACAGGGGGGAGAGGAATTGGGAAGGTCCAACTTTGTATCTGGGCACATTTATAACATATCAAAAACTCAAAGTGGACATAATTTAGGAGGAGGAAGAGGAGAAGGGTTTTTATGCCCCACTGTTCTCTACCTTAAGGAGTCTCGAAGCAGCTTACAATTGCCTTCCCTTCCTCTCCCTACAACAGACATCCTGTGAGGTGGGTGGGGCTGAAAGAGTTCTGAGATAATGTGACTGACCCAAGGTTACCCAGCAGGCTTCATGTGGAGGAGTGGGGAGTCAAAACCGGTTCTCCAGATTAGAATCCACTGCTCTTAACTACTACTTCATGCTGGGGAGAATGTACACTTCCACAAGTACAATTGCATACATTTCCTGTCCTTGCTGGTCTGCATGACAGAAGTCCAACAAGCAAAGCTTTCCTAATGTGGAGGGGAACGGTGGGGAAAGGTCCACTTTCCATTTGCTGTCAAAAACACAAGAGAGCAGGGACAGAAAAGAAACGGTCTCCAATCCACTCCTGCTTGCACCTTCCCACATGGCCCCCATCTCACTTCCTGAGGAACCCAGGCAACGTGTTTCTTAGCTCATTTCAAGATTTTGAACGCTCACTGAAGATTTTTCACATACATATTAAAGAACTCACTAATATGAGGGTGAGTCAAATAAAAACCTTAAAATGGTAGTAAAATTTAGAAACAGTGCACCATTGTCTGTAAGTTGGCAGTATTTTTACCAATGACATAAGGAATGCCCTACGGGTGGCAGCAGAGTGCAGACGAGCAACACGCCATCACAGTAGCAGGGCATAAAGATGGCTGCCCCACTCGAGACATGCACCAAAGAGGAGCAGCATTCCATCATCCGTTTTTTTGAGTAGTGAAGAAGTGAACTTCCTACGCCACTCGTACACTTGCCGCAGTGACAGAGATGCATCACCATATTGCAACTTCATTCATTGATGAATTGCAGTAGGTTTCACTCATTCACTACTCAATCAATGGATGATGACTACTCCTCTTTGGTGCACGTCTCAAGTGGGGCAGCCATCTTTATACAGTGCTACTGTGACAGCGTGTTGCTCATCTGCCCTCTGCTGCCACCTGTAGGGCATTCCTTATGTCATTGGTAAAAATACTGCCAACTTACAGACAATGGTGCACTGTTTCTAAATTTTACTACCATTTTAAGGTTTTTATTTGACTCACCCTCATATTAGTGAGTTCTTTAATATGTATGTCATTGGTAAAAATACTGCCAACTTACAGATAATGGTGCAGTATTTATTTATTTATTTATTTATTAATCAGATTTATATCCCGCCCTCCCCCGTAGGGCTCAGGGCGGCTTATAATGCAAGCAATCTTGCAGATAAAAACATAGCTAAGAACATATTATACAATTTAAACAATCCCCATACAATTAACCAACCAATTAGTTAGTTAATTAATCAATTAATCAACCAATTAAGCAAATAATTAAGGTGCTCGTTGATCTTCAGTTTCCACAGTTCCGAAAAGAAAGATGACGGACCGCATCCAAACGATTCCCAGTGGTCCTTTGGTGGCACTCAATATTTATGTAGATGTTAAGGACTTCAGATGTTCCCTTCCTAGGGCCTCCTCTCCCCCCCCCCACGATGACAAGATAATGGAGGGGGGGCGGCGGCAGCCCCTACTCAAAGGCCTGGTGGAAGAGCTCCATCTTACAGGCCCTGCGGAACTGCATCAAATCCCGCAGGGCCCGAATCTCTTCCGGGAGCTTGTTCCACCAGGTAGGGGCCGCCACCGAAAAGGCCCTGGCTCTTGTCGCGACCAGTTTTACATCTCTGGGGCCCGGAACCGTTAGTAAATTTTGGGCCCCAGACCGTAGTGCTCTTGGGGGAACATACGGGGAAAGGCGGTCCTTCAGGTAGACTGGACCCAGACCATATAGGGCTTTATAGGGGAGAACCAGCACTTTGAAGCGAATCCGGTACGCTATAGGCAACCAGTGCAAATGGTTGCCTATAGCGTACCAAATATTTCCTATAGCATACCAAATATTTCCAAATGTTATTGCCATTTTAAGGTTTTCATTTGACTCACCCTTATGACAAATTAGCTTTGAGAATACATCTCTGTATCTGGCTAGAGGAAGACTTCAAAAGGTCACTACCTGCTTTTCATTCATCCCATAAAGTTGTCAATGAGAAAAAGGCAACAAAATCTAAATGTGTCACCTTGATACAAATGGAAAAGTGATGTGCTGAACTAAAAGTATTCAGGTAGGTAGCCATGTTGGTCTGAAGAAGCAGAAGGTTTGAGTCCAGTGGCACCTTTAAGACCAACATAATTAAAATTAATAAAAATTAATAATAAAACTTTTTGCACTTCAGAAGTGTGTGTGTGCACACAAAAGTTTACACCTTGAATAAAACTTTGTTAGTCTTAAAAAAGTGCCACTGGACTCAGACTTTGTTCTGCTTCAGATCAACAGGGCTACCCACCTGAACCAGCCATAGTTATTAGGCTGCCACCTGCTGGCTGTTCACCCACATAGGATGGCCAGCCTGGCATCAACCAGTGCCCATGCCTTTCCTTGTGGTTGCCACTGGAGGGAGTGGACTCCCCTAAGAGGAGAAGGGAGCCCCCTCACTGAGATGTTAAGGAGGGTTTTTATGGGGGTATGATTTTATGGATTTTAATGGGGGTATGAACAGCAGGCAATATTTGGGGTAGGGGAGGAGGAGGTATTTGTAGGTTTTATTTGGTCTTAATGTTATGTTTTAATAACTATTTGTAAACTGCTATGAACCAAGAGGAAAGGTTGGGTATCAATATTTTAATGTTTTAAAAAATAAAATTTGGCAACTGATTTCTGTGTGCAATTATGCACCAAGCAATAGAGGGGTGGAGTGAGTGAATCCTTGACCTCCAAGTGCTGCCACCCCACTTGTTGTAAACAAGACATCCTGGGCTGATGTCCACAAGGTTAATTGTATAGCTAAGGCCACAAGCTGTGACCAAGGGCCAAGAGCCTTTAAGGTTCAAACCCAGACTATAAATACCTGCAGCAGGGGAGAGACAAAAACACTCAGCCTAGGTGTTTCAAGCTGGCAGCCATCTTCCCTCAGTTCCCTCTTCTGCTGTTGGAGTTCCAATATTCACATTCCAAGTACCTTTCCCATTTTGGAATGCGTTATTCCAGTCTGACTGGCAAATCTAGAACTGTAACCTGGAAGATGTTTTGGAACTCAGATGCTGGATTTAGGCAAAATTCCATTTCTATTCTGGCATTGTTTTATCAAGTACACTGAAAATCCTGGCTTCATCCATACAGGTATAGACCGTTGGGGGGGGGGGGATTGTCTATTCAAGAAAATGAGGATAACAAACTACTGGGGAAGAACAGAGAACAAAACAAAACTGAAGGCAGTTGCAAAACCAGCTGCCCTGCAAGTTCTGTTTAATACCCTGGTCAGCAATTAGTTTTCTCTAGAGGGCCACTTTGAGATGAAGAGTAATGGGTCAGGATCTCATCCCTCTTCCTAAAGTGGGGTGCCAAGTTCTATCACAACACTCCCTCTACATCTGTTTAATCTCCACATTGAAAGTTGGGATAAAGGCAGGGAGAACCTGAGTTGGATCACAGGCTTGGACTCAGAGCTTCTAAATGATTCTTCTTGCCTAATAAAGCAGGAACCCTGGTCTGTTGTGTCTTACATTTTAGCTCTCTTTTCCTTCATACTGGAACTCAAGGTAGCATAAAAGGATGCAGGGGTCTCCCATTCAAGAATCAACCTCTCCCAGAACTGCTGAATTTCAACACATTTTGGTCACATACTTTCCACCCATGCCCTGGTTTCTGTTAGGAATGACCTATTTGATAACTTAATAAAACAGTCTTGTATCTTTATTGCATTAGTCTCTACATGAGTCAACAGAAGGTGTCAGACTAGTCTCTTGATAAATGACAATCTAAGAGGGTAATCCCACCAGCCTGAGAGCTGGTATGGTGCATCAGTTAGGAGCACCAGAGACTGAGCAAGGAATCCTGTGATCAGTTCCCCACTCTCGTATGAAGCTCAGCAAGTGAACTTGGGCCAGTCACTCTTCCCTGATCTACCTCACAGCGTTAGGGAGGAAGGGACTATACAACATCCCGAGCTCTCGGAAGAAAAGCAGGATAAAAATCTAATAGACGAATGCCCCTTATCCAAATTTTAAGATGTTTATTTTAAAAATCTCACTGAACTAAGGTTAAACACACTTCAAACACCTATGTCCTTCACGAAAGATTTTTTTTAATCATTGTTTTTTACTCTCCCTAAATTGATTTTTTTGTTAGGAGGGAACAGCCCCATTTCCTGCACTTTAGTCAGTACTTGCACAATAAAACTGGAAGTGGATTTTAAACTATGGAAAGTATCGACTTCTTAGTGACTCATCTTTTTTGTCATTGAAAGGTTGTAGAGAAAATTCAGCTGCAGTATCACTCTTTCTCTGCAGCCTTGGTCTCCCCAGTATGGTACAAAAAGAGCACCCAGAACATGAATGTGCAGAGCCTGCCCATTTTGATTTCTATTCCTTCATCTTCCATAGAGAAGCAGATCTATTTGTGGATTCTATCCATAATAACATGCAAAATAAGATTTTTTTCCCCAGTAGAGTTCCAAGTGTTTATTAGGTATTCCAGATATTGGTGGGAGAAAAACTTGATTTCACAGTCAACTACACAGTTGTTCCAAGACTCAAAGGAAAGTCAGCAAAAACAAACGTAGACAAATAACACTATATCAATACAGTGCATCCTTTTTTTTAAGGCTTATGGTCCCTTGGCAGCATCTTCAGAACACACACATTGACAGTAACATATTTTGTGCCCTTTACCCAAGTATTGTTTCTGCTGCTTTTGGAAATATCACCATGGGCAGATCTAACAACTTGGGAAAGTCTGCATACATCTCACCAGCATTTTGGGAGGGGAAAAAAGCCTCCATCTACATATGGGTACCTTTCTAATATTTCTAAACATTTCAGTAAACAAAGTACAAAAACCCAAAATACAGAATATTTCTAAAAGGAGGTAAACAAGGATCCAGGCAGTTGTATAGTTCAGTGGTTCTCTTAAAAATATTATTATTTAGAATGTTTCTTTCTTTCAACAAGTATCCATATCTACCATTTGATCAAGTTTGAGGTCCAGTTCTGTTACACTGAAGTCAATGATGGAAGAGCAGGTGCTTGGCATAGATCTCAAAGTGATAACGTTATTGCCTGCTGCATCAAGGGGGAAATCTGTTTAAAAAATGGTTTGGAAAAGAAAATTCTTATGTACCGTCCTGTCTTACCCCTCTCTTTATGGCATATTGTCATTTATCTGGTTTCAGCTCCCCAACTCAGTTCCTACAAAACTCTGGAGTAATGAACTACAAACTCAGAAAAAATATTTTTAATCTGCCACAAAGTGAGTGGTGTTGTGTTTGCTGAAGGCAAAATGCCTTCGTTTATTGCAGATTCTTATTCCCTGTGATCCGCTCAAAGCCCCAGGATAGGGAGAGATGTACAACAATATGTGCTCTTTGGTTTTGCTATGGAACAGTTATTCTTATTAGGAGAACTACAAGGTAGCCTAGCCACAGATTCTGGGAGATCCAAATCCTAAATTGGATTATATAACCTTCCTCCATACAATGATTTTTCTGCAGCTACGGTACACACAGAGAGAAATCCAGAGCCGTATGTACGTAGAACTCTTGCATAAAACAAGTACTTTCATTTATTTCAATGGTGGTAGCAGAGCTACATGCACCAAGCAACGCGTACACAGGTTTTCCTCTTCCATTCAAATTAATGGACATTCATTTGTATAAGGGATCCCCATGTCTTGGATTGGATCAAGTCATAAATAGTCCTAATTTGCCTTTATTCTCCGTTACACTACTAAGAAGCACAACCAAGTTATTTGCCCTAGCTATTTCTTGTTAAAAAGTGCCAAACTGTGTTATTATTTTTTTTTCTACAGGCATTAGTAGGTCTTTGTTTCAGACCTACCAGTAATTCCACTTCCCCCATGAGAGCCTTGGCCTATGAAAGCATTTTTTTTTTTTTTTGGTAATTGTTATACATGTTTATCTCTGGATACTTAGATCTTCTCGTGTATTTTTTCTACTTTCACGAACAACCTGTCCAGGTCATTCCTTAAGTCATCCAATGTGGTTTTCACTGACTGCACATCGTTCTGGTTGGTTTCTATTTTCACAGAGTAAGCAACTAAACTATCCACTGCAGTTCTGAGCATCTTTAAATCAGATTCAGCCTGGTCAACAGAAGAGCGCAGTTCACCAACAGAACTTTTCAAAGAGGACAGTTCTTCTAGGTGATGTTTAGATTGACCCACAGCCATCGGTGGCTTTTCTCGGTCCAGCAGAGCACGAACTTCATTCTGGATCCTATCGAGTGCATCAGCATTGTTTGACAAGTCGCTCATACTTCTCCGTAGTTCGTCAATGTCACTGTACATTGAGAGCTGAGATTCGCTCAGACTCCTTACAGTATCCGTCAGTGAACGTGCATCACTCTCTAAAGAATCACGGAGAGAGCCAATACCTTCTTCTAAAGCAGCCAGCTTGCTCTCATACTTGGAGGCAAAAGATTCTTCCATTTCTACATGCTGGGCAGTTGAACTCAAAGACTGGAGTTTCTCTTCTATGGTCCTGAACCTGGAGTCATATCGTTCACTGTCCTTTTGCAGAGTTTGTAGGATGTCTTCAGGGACTGAATAGCTTTCTTGTACATTAGCAGAGGTTTTAATGTGCAGCAAGTCTTCACTAAGTCGCTGAAGCTCATCAGGAAAACTTGCAATGGTCTCCTCTGCTTTAAGGACCTTTTCTTCCAAAGCTTGTAAGGAAAGGTGCTCCGTGTCAGCTGCCTCTTTGAACTTGTCATGCTCCTGTTTGAGGTTGACAAGTTCCTTGACTTCGGACAACACGTCTGACTCCATTAAATCAATAGTGCTTTGCAATGACTCTATGGCCTTCTCTTTAGCTCTCATGGATGCTTGCATCTCGTCAACAACACTTTTCAAAGCCTGTAGTTCATGTTTGTATGCCCCCGGTTCACTCAGCAAAGCTATGTTTGCTTTTACTTCATTTATTTCCTCCTGGCTCCGTTTCTGGACATTGGTGAATTCCGCTATGTTGTCATTTATGGACCGCGTAAGCTCTGTCAGCCTTTCTTCCACGGTGTTTTCCAGAGAAGTGAAATCTCGTTCTCTGGCATCTTTCACAACGTGGATGCCATCAGACAGGTCTTTCAGGATTTCATTTTGTAGTTTCTGAAGAACCTCGCTGATGCGATTGATCTCGCTCTCCCCCTGTCTAACAGCCTTCTCTGTGATATCTTGTTTTTGCTGAGAGTTTTTCAGCGTCAGTTCAAAACCTCCAAATGCAGACTGAAGAGACTGTATCTAAAGAGATAAACAGACATATTGATTAAATTTAGATGCCCGCTTTGGTGCGGATTACAGAGCCTACTATTATCCTGCCTGGAGATTTGAAATCCCAGGGCAAAAAAGACGATTTCAGAAAAAAGGGTTTTTCTCCCCCGCCCCCAATCTTTTTTCAAAATGTATAGAATAATGTATAGAATGAAAATGTCTGAAGACTTCTTTCATTTATTCCTATGGAAAACCTGGGCATTTTTAGGGTGCAGTTAACACCCCCCCCCCCGACATATTTAAATTATTAAAAGAGTTAAATCATTTCAGTATTGTAATACCTAAATATGCTGGTAGTCCTGTCCATTATATGAGTGTTTCTGTCCAAATAATAAACCTGAATTTGTTTTCTACCTTCAACTTCTTTTTAGGACCTGTCATATGACGAATATGTGTGTGATGCTTGTATAGGGTGCAGCAGTTTACAGATCTTTCTCACAAAACAAAGTAATTTATGCTTTCAAATTCCATAAATACGCCAAAATAGTACAATTTTAGACCAGGCCTTGACAAGTTTTCTTCGGCTTTAGGTGCCACCGCAAAAACTTAAGAGCCAGATTAATTTTTTGCCTCCAGTCTTTTTCATTTTAATGACCCAAATTTCTAATTACTGCTACCACAAAACTCAATCCTAAATTCTTCATAGTTGCTTGTCTTTATAGCTAAAATAAAAGCATTGTAGTATATAAATAAATATATATGAGGTAACCATGGTTATTATTACAACAAATGCTAATCTCCATCCCTCACCTAAATGAGCTTTGTACATCTGCTGAGAATCACCAAGAGGCACTTAAAATAAACAACTAATGCAAATTAGGTGCCACATGAAATTTCTAGGTGCCATGGCTTCTTAATACCTGGGGTTTTCTGGACCATGTTTTAGATGCTAACAAGTTTATAAGTTATGTATTTTATGTTGTTAAATCAGTAAAAGAAGTTTAGGTATGATAGCAAACTAAGTATTGTACATATTTCAATATTTCATTTCCCCCCCTTTAAAATTGGGGGTGGGGGTCTTTTTGTGGCTCCAAAATGCAGATTTCCCTAATGTAAATACTGGCATGAAACAAGACAAGAGTCCAAAACATTATGACTCTTACCAAGCTTAAAGGCTGAGACTTCTACAAGCACATCACTTTGCAAAGGGTAAGCAAATCTAGCCACTGTCATGGGCCAGCAAAGGGTAAAACTCTGAGTCAAGGGCATACAAACTGTCCATGAAACTAATGCAGCTATGCTAATGAATACCCTGAGAGTCCCGTCCTGAAGACCACTTAGTCTACAGCAAGTGAACCAAAAGCATACACCAAAAGAGAGCCAGTGTGATGTTGAGGGTTAAGAGTGATGGACTTTGAACCTGGTTCCTCAAAAACTGACACGGGTGCCATGTGGAAAAAGTGCAAGCAGGACTGGAGTGGAGGAGACTAGGGATGGACACAAGCCCAAAAAAAGTGGTTTGGGGGCCAAAACAGCCCAATTTATTATTTTCAATTTTGATTTAACCCATTGGTATCATTTCCCCGGATTCAGAGGTGGAGGAGTGAAACAAAGGGGTTTAATGGCTTGCAGCCATTTAACCCATCAGTTTTGGTCCCCCCCTTCAAAGGGGGGAGTGATACTGAGGGAGTTAATGGCTCATAGCCATTTAAACCTAACAGCTGACCAGCAGACCCTGTGCTGCTCAGCTGCCAAATTTAAATGTCTGGCCCCGAACTGCT